ATGCCGCAGCGCTGCTGGAGCATGCGGTAGCGGGCTGCTTGCTGTTCGGTAGCAGTAGTGCCGGGCAGTGCGGAAAGGGCCGGGGTGCTCACGAGCTGTCTCTTATACACATCTAGATGTGTATAAGAGACAGAGTCAGTGCATGCCGCAGCGCTGCTGGAGCATGCGGTAGCGGGCTGCTTGCTGTTCGGTAGCAGTAGTGCCGGGCAGTGCGCGCTGGCTGTGGAAGAAGGCAGGGCGCTGCAAGCAGGCAGCACCATAGGCAAGCCCTCCAATAGCTGGGCTTGACTTGGATGAAGGTCGGCGGGGTCTGGTGATGGTCTTCGTGTAGGGGGGACGTGGGTGAAAGAAGACAAGGGAGAGAGGGAGAGATGAGGATGACGATGTGAGGGCACGTACCTGGTCTTGGCGGTGGTCTACATGGTCGACATCTGCATGTGCTTCGGTTGAGGATAGCAGTCTGGGCACTGAGCGCCAGTAGGAGGAAGAGCTACGACTGCGTTGTTGGTGGTGGCGAGCATACGCTTTCATTGACAATTGAGTTCGATGCTTTGGTCCTCCTTCGGTTGTAACATCAGTGCAATTCTGCTTTCTGGACAGCATTCGACTATCTGGCTTTCAATGTGATTTGCAATCTTGAATTCTTTCATTTCACCATTGCTCATTTTCCTTGCAACAGGCCAGTTTTTTTTTTTTTTTTTCAGCACAGAAGGGCAGGTCAGAACTACAGCAGATCTGAGACATCACAGCAGATTCCAGATGACACAGAGAGAACAGAACCATGCAGCCACTGTTCGTTGAGCCGAGAGAAGGTTAGCGTCTCCAGACTCGGGAATAGTCTGTGGAATATTGCCGAGACAAGGACGGGGATAGCCTAGACACTATATGAACACAGTGCCTGCATGGTTCTGTGTTCATATAGTCTCAGCTAGCCTTCTCCGGAATAGTCTGTAGACTATTCCCTCGATAAGGACGGGAATAGTCTATGGACTATAGGAAGGCAGAACCATGCAGCCATGGCATCCTGCAGGAGTGCATCATGGAAAGCCCCCTATGAGTCAAATTGGGAAACGGACAAGAAACAAAAGGAGGAGGAGGAGGAGGAGGAGGAGGAGGAGAAGAAGAAGAAGAAGAAGAAGAAGAAGAAGAAGAAGAAGAAGAAGAAGAAGAAGAAGAANGGGAAGAAGAAGAAGAAGAAGAAGAAGAAGAAGAAGAAGAAGAAGAAGAAGAAGAAGAAGAAGAAGAAGAAGGGGGAGAAGGGGGAGAAGGGGGAGGAGGACGAGAAGGAGAAGAAGAAGGAGCAGGAGGAGGAGGAGGAGGAGGAGGAGGAAGAAGGAAAAAGTAGGAAGACGTTGGGAGAAGAAGCAGGAGGAGGAGGACGAGGAGGAGGACGAGGAGGAGGACGAGGAGGAGGAGAAGGAGAAAGAGAAGGAGAAGGAGAAGGAGAAAGAGAAGAAGAAGAAGGAGAACGAGAAGAAGGAGAAGGAGAAGGAGAAGGAGAAGGAGAAGGAGAAAGAGAAGAAGAAGAAGGAGAACGAGAAGAAGGAGAAGGAGAAGGAGAAAGAGAAGGAGAAGGAGAAGGAGAAAGAGAAGAAGAAGAAGGAGAACGATAAGAAGAAGGAGAAGGAGAAGGAGAAGGAGAAGGAGAAGGAGAAGGAGAAGAAGGAGAAGGAGAAGGAGAAGGAGACGAAGAGGGGGAAGTAGAAGTAGAAGTAGAAGGAGAAGGAGAAGGAGAAGGAGAAGGAGAAGGTTCGGCGCAGCAGACCAGGTTTATGGGGGAAAGAGTTGGTTGTTTAACACAGCAGAGCAGGTCAGAACTGCAGCAGATCTCAGACAACACAGTGGATTCTAGATGATAGACTGTGTTGCATTCCGCTCCATGGAATGGCTTCAAATGGGAGGTCCAAGGGCACTGGAGCTTCGCTTGTGTTTCTCCAAAACTGTTTTGCGGAAACTATACAGCAATTTTGAGCCCTCGTCCGGGAAACAAGGAGGGGGAGGAGGAAGGGGAGGAGGAGGGGGAGGAGAAGGAGGAGGAGGAGGAAGAGGAAGAGGAAGAGGAAGATGAAGAAGCAGACGAAGAAGATAACGAAGAAGAAGACGAAGAAGATGAAGAGAAGATGAAGACAAAGAAGAAGACGAAGACAGAAATGAGATGATAAAGATGAAAAGAAGACGAAGAAGAAGAAAGGCAAAAACAACCGAAGAGGGGAAACCAACACTGCCACACATGCAGAAGGATGGGTCTGTCAGACATAAAGGCGCACAGGTAACTGATCGGCAATCAGTGGCTCGCTCACCTTTCGACTTGTCATACAACAAAAGACCAAGATTACGCTGTGCACCCTTGTGCCCCTGCTCAGCACCTTTGCGGAACCACATCTCTGCTTTGCCAATATCCACAGGCACTCCCTTTCCATCTCTGAAGCATATTCCCAGATTGCACTGCGAGCTTGCGAAGCCTTGACTTGCGGCCTTGGCATACCATTTCGCAGCCTCCGTAAGGTTCTTCTGGACGCCTGCGCCATGCTCAAAGCACCACCCAAGGTTGTGTTGCCCGTAAGCGTAACCCTGCTCTGCTGCCTTAGCGTACCACGCAGCGGCCTGTGTCTCGTCCCTCTCCAGCCCGACTCCACGCTCGTAACAGTACGCAAGGTGCGTCTGCGCCCTCGGATCGTTTTGTGCAGCCGATCGCTGGAACCATTGGACTGCTTGCATGACGTCCTTCGGCACTCCTTTACCTTCCAAGTAGAGAACTCCCAGGTTCCACTGGGCATTCGAGTTCCCCTGATCAGCCGCCTTGTGATACCATTCAGCTGCCTTGACCTCATCCTTCGGGACACCCTCGTCCTTCGCATAGCAGACTCCGAGCTTGTTCTGCGCTAGAGCGTCGCCCTGATCAGCTGCCTTTCGCAACCACTCCACAGACTCCTTCAAGATATTGGCATTTCTCAATGCTGCACAAGAAAGAAAAAGAAAAAAAAACACAGAATTCACAAAGTCAATAATTTTCCACCACTGAGGACCTGTCAGCAATCTAGTGTGTTTCACTTAGGACTCCCTCCCTTTTTGTGACTCCCTCCCTCTTTGGGACTCCTTCCCATGCTTGGGACTCCTTCCACCCTTTTGTGACTCCTTCCACAACACCTTCCCTGCTAGGGAATCCTGGCATTCTTTGTTTCACTCAGAACTCCCTCCCTATTTGGGATTCCTTCCATCCTTGGGACTCCTTCCATCCTTGGGATTCCCTCCCTCTTTGGGACTCCTTCCATCCTTGGGACTCCCTTCCATCCTTGGGACTCCCTTCCATCCTTGGGACTCCCTCCCTCTTTGGGACTTCCTCCCTCTTTGGGACTCCCATCCTTGGGACTCCTTCCACCCTTGGGACTCCTTCCACAACTCCTTCCCTGCTTGGTACTCCTTGCATCTACATCCTTCTCCGAACTCCTTCCATCCTTGGGACTCCTTGAATCCTTAAGATATGTTCCTTCCATATTTGGGACTGGGACTCCTTCCATCCTTGGGACAACTCTCCTTGGGACTACTTCCAGATGCCTTGGGATTTCTTTCACCCTTGGGCCTCCTTCCCTCCTCCCTCTCACACTCTGCCTTGCACCCGTGCGCATGCATTCACATGAGAGGCAGAGATGGGCTGGCGGTACTTATTTTGTCTCAACCTTGTGCACAGCTGCTCTAGTCTTCTGTGTATCACTCTTAGGGGGTACTCACACTAGCACTATCTTAAACATATCTGACTGCATTTACGACAGGAATACCTGTATGCATCTGGCCGCATTTCTGTCCAGAAATAAATTAAGAAATGCTAGTGTGAGTCTGCCCTCTTAACCTTCCTTTCTTTCAGTCACGTCAACGAATCAATTATCGATCTTAATAAATGTCCCAAAGGACTCGCATAAGTTTCCTACTGGATGTCGTTTGACGTATCTGTTAAAATTCTAATGAAACCAAAAAGACTAGAATAGCTCCTGCCCGACAATGACACACACAAATTGAGAAGCAGTACAAATTATTTATCTCCCCCCCCACAAAAAAAAAGAAGTTAAAAAAAAGCAGCTGCCCACCTTGCAAGGAAGCCAGGGTAAAAAAAAAAAAAAAAAGCTGCTACCAAGCAACCCAACGCTTATTTCAGATACCAGTGAAGCAGACTAAAAGATCGAAGTGTCCTGCCGCTTTCTCTACACGCCCAGGCCCAAATCGAAAAGCTCAAATGGAAAAGCCCAAAATCGAAAAGCTCAAAATCGAAAAGCTCAAAATCGAAAAGCTCAAATCGAAAAGCTCTTACCGGTACGAGCGGTACTCTGCTTCGCGTGAACTGGCGGTTTAACGGGAAAGCCCGGAAAGGGATGTTTGGAGTAGGTAAAAGATTGGGAAAAAATATTTAAAAAAAATAAATAAAAAATAAAAAACCTTGAAAAAAGAGAATTGGGAAACGTATGTGATTCCCACCAAGGAATTCCAAGACTGGCCTCAATCGCAACCCTAATTCGCAATTGTCACTGCCAGAATGCACCTGGACGAAAGGTTGTCCAGGTGCATGATCCGCACCTAGGTGTGCTAGCGTGGAGCGCTGAATTCTGACAGTGGCGATCACAGGATTGACTTCCGGAAAGTCTCCAGTTGACGTCATCTTGGAATGTCAGCAAGGGAGCAAACGTGTTTTCCTAAAATGGACATTACGATGGCACAAACCAAAAGCCTCCCCCCCCGACTAGGTCATATTCACACTAGCACTTTCCTGGATGCATATGACCTGGACCAAGGCCAGATTCACTCCAAGAAGTCACAGTTTGATTTTTAAAACCCCTGAACTGCAATCAAATAGGCTATCTTGTGGCCAAAACGCACTCCTGCAAAAGTCAACGATACTCAGTATGCTTCTGCAGAAACTGCCCGTCGCGGTCCATTCTGACATTCCTGCACCTGGACTTCTTCCCATCCAGGTCCGTTCTGGCTTTATAAGACAACTGATCACACTCCAGCAGACTACCCCCCCCTCCCCCCAAGGCTAATCGACCTTGTCTCTCTGCGCCGAGTCTGCGGTGAAATACAGTCCGCTCCTCTGTCTGGAGAGTATGAAACTCCGATTACCCACGAGCCACCATCCACAATGGTGTGCAATGATATGTATGCCCTGCTTTGTTCATCGTCGATTCCATGACAGTCAAAATAACCTTTCCCACCCCACCTACCCGACAGAGGGGTTACCTGCACACAAAACCTGCTTCCGCGCTGAGTAGCCAAGGCCCCATCTAAAAGCTGCAGATTGCCAATGTATGTGGTCATATCGGGCCCTCTTGTCCATCAGAACTGCTCGCCAGATGCCCAAGCCCTTCCTCGATGTGAAGAGGGTAAGGCAGGCTTTTCCGATCAAAAGGCGTAGAGGACAAGATAATGAAGGCAGCCTTTTCCAATCACAAGGAGCAGAAGGCTTCACACTGCTCACAGTGATTACCAGGGGAACGCGTCGGAACGAAGAAAACAAAGGCACACAAAGTTATACATATAGTATAGTATAGTATATACTTGGTAAGTTCGTACATATATATATAATATTATACTAGCGTAGCGCCCGCGGTGCGGCGTACGCCCGCAACCAAAAAGCGGGAAACGACATGCCCACCGGGAAACGACACGCCCATCGGGAAACAAAAAGAAAAGGAAAAACGAAACGACAAAAAGACACACCCACCGACACACCCACCGGGAAACAAAAAGAAAAGAAAAAACAAAAAGCGGGAAAAATAAGAAAAAAAAAAAAGAGGAACGACACACCGACCACAAAACAAAAAGAAAAGCAGGAAACGACAGGCCAAAAACGAAAATGCTAAAAGAAAAAAAGGCCGCCCGCTTATCGATGGCAGCGGTTTCAAGATATTCCCTCACATCTACGCCTGCCGCCGCCCGGCCCCGTGGGCGCGCTCACTCGTTTAATGGCGCGCTGTGAACATTTCGGTACGCGCACCCCTCTGCACACTCCCCTGCCCTGGATCGCCTCCTTCCGCCGGCCCTCCTCAAAACTTCGACTCCAAATCCGGCGCGCAGCAGGGACCATCGACCTCCCCCCCCCCGTCCAATGCTCCTTAAGGGGTAGGATATCCAATGCATATAAACTATTATAAATTTATAAATCTATAACACAAAGCTATACATTTAGGACGCTGCCTCTTGATTTATACTTCTGTAAGTTGCTGGTCTGCCCCTTTTCCACCGGGCCCATGGTGCACACAGTCCCTCGTGGTACTTGCTGACTGTACAAAGTGAGACTGGGACTGGGTACCGCTGACTAAGCGAAGCTGGACTTGCCACTTGCCCACTTGCCTCTGGTCTGCTGTGTATAACGTGAGAAGAAACTTGAAAGGCCACTTCCGGACCTTCCAGAAGTTTGCGGACTTGGCCTTTCAGGACTGTAGCAGCTACGACCTTGACCTTTCAGAACTACAACAACTATGACCCCTATGCAGGTATGACCCCTACTTCGACAGGTCTAAGATTCAAGACCCGACAACTACTCAGACCTACGACAAACAACTTTCAACTACTAACACACAGGTCGCAGGTTCAAGACACACAGGATCGACTTGATACTGTACACAGGGAAGGTAAGGTAAGGTAAGATCTGGGGATCGAGTGCGTGAGCCATGCGGAAGCGCTGCCTGAGCGTCTTGTGCGAGGTGGTCTGCAGTTGCCCGAAGTCGAAGCGGGCTGAGAGGGAGATAGCGCAGCCATAGCTGCTTGAAGTTAGGGATAGCCGGCGGCCATAGCTGCCATAGCTAGTGTTAGGAAGTAGTGAGGGTGTGTGTCTGATACAGAGTGTGTGTGTGTGCGTGGGATATTCAGGGTGATCCAAAGTTGAGTGTATGCGAACAGTGGTGGTGGACAGTGTGTCGGCAGTGAAATGATTTGGCGATCAGGCACCATAGCCTGTTCGAAGCGAGTTGTATCTGAACTGTGTTCTCAGTCTCCATATCTTTGAGCTTTGTGTGGGCGCCTGGCGCCAGTTTGGTTTGCCATCTGTTTGCATGTATGCAAGTTGAAGAAGAAAGCGAGTCTGAATGCAATGCAATACAAATAAATAATGAATACATCATTTATAAACGCATATGATGCGGCATATCTATCAATGGAAAAAACACACATTGAGAAATGAACAAAGGCAAACAGCAGACAACATGAAGCACACCGAAACCGTTCTTCGCCTTTTCTTGTTCAGTTCGTTCCTTTTCTTTCATTCTTTTGACTTTTTTTTGTCAGAGTTTCTCTTTCATTTTGGCTCCCCCCGTACTGTGCCTCTCACGTACACGGCTTGCCACATTGCTGTAGTTTAGAATGCGCTGCCTGCATCCCCATGTGCCACAAGGGTCCACTTGCACACTGTGAAAAAAGAGGGCAGAGTAAGAGGAGAGGGGATAATGAGAGGAAATAGGGAAGAAGACAAAGCAAAGGTACACAAAGGGAAGATGAGACCATAGGGAAGGATAAGAGAAGATATGTGTATATATATCGTCAAATAGAACTGCCCGGTAAACCGTAGGCAGAGAGGGAGAAGAGGACAACAAACGAGGGGCTGTGACAAACTGTTTCGTCGGAGTTTATACATGTATATATATACCTGTTCATCACCTCTTACGTATATACACATATGTGTATGTGTATATGTAATAGCGTATACATATATATAGAGGGCGAGCGAGTAGGAAAGGGGTCAGAACGAGGATTACTTATGCACACCAAAAGCGAGGGAAAGAGACCAA